CAGGGTGAGATTGCAGAAGGACTCGGGCTGAAATTAGAAGGGGATAATTTGTGGAGTCGTGGAGATCGGCTGCGTACAAGGTTAATGGATCAGAACAGCCACACCCTTGTAATCTTGGATGATGTTTGGGAGGCTCTTCGTGATATAGAGAAACTTGGAATTCCCAGTGGTAGCAACCGCAATCATCGGTGCAAAGTGACATTCACAACGCGTTTCCGATCTGTTTGTGAAGCAATGGGAGCTCAGAAGATCATGGAAGTTGGAATGTTATCTGAAGAGGAAGCATGGTTCCTTTTCAGGCAGAAAGTCGGTGATTTTGTCGATGATTCATCTCTTCAAGGCATAGCAAAAGAGGTTGCCAATGAATGCAAGGGGCTGCCGCTTGCAATTATTACAGTTGCAGGAGCACTAAAAAAGCATAAAAACAAGCGTTCGTGGGACTGTGCCCTTGAAGAATTACGTGGTGCAGTAACAGTAAGTATCCCTGAAGTGCCCAAAGAGTTGTATAAACCTCTGAGGCTAAGCTATGATTACTTGGGAAGTAATGAAGCCAAATACCTCTTTTTGCTTTGTTCCTTGTTCGAGGAAGATAGTGATATTTGGATTGAAGAATTGCTTAATTATGGAATGGGGCTTCACATCTTTCCAGGAATAAAAAATTTAGAACAAGCAAGAGATAAGGTGTATTCTCTGTTAGAAACATTGGAAGATGGTTTTTTGTTATCCCAAGGTTCAAACAAAAACTATGTCAAAATGCATGATGTGGTCCGTGATGTGGCTAAATATATTGCGACCGAGAGAGAGCATATATTTATGGTAAGTCATGATGTGAACTCAGAAGAGTTCCCAAGAAAAGACTCTTACGAGCAATGTAGTCACATGTCAATTGTTGCAAATAAATTTGAGGAGCTTCCTAGCCCAATAATTTGCCCAAAACTGAAGCTATTAATGTTGAAACTCCGGTTTGAAGATCCATTCAAATTACAGGATGATTTTTTTGATGAAATGAGTAACCTCAATGTCTTGAGCCTGAGTGGATATGATGAGGACTCCATTCTGTCTTTTCCAGCATCCATTAGGAGGTTGTCAAGTCTGAGGACGCTGTGTCTGAGTAATTTAAGGTTGGATGACATATCCTTTATTGGGGAACTTGTCGAATTAGAAATTGTCAGCATAAGAGATTGTAAGTTAGATGAGCTGCCAGAGGAGATAGGAAAATTGACCAAGCTAATTAGGTTAGAGTGTTGGAATGGGTATAGAAAACTTAAAAGGATTTCAGGAGGGGTGTTATCAAAATTACTAGCTCAATTGGAGGAACTACATATTCTGGAAGTAGAAGATTTGAGTGATGTGATGTACAGTAACCTTGGCCTTCCCTCCAAGTTGACACGGTACACTCTTGAAATGTGTTATTGGAATTCAAGATTTGATGAATACGACAAGATTATTGCTTTAAAGGTCACGGAGACCAGACCATTGGGTGATTGGATCTGCCACCTGTTGAAGGAAGGCGAACTCATACATTCAACCGGGGAAGGCTCTAATAATGTGTTAACTGAGTTGCAGCTGAATGAATTTCAGAACGTGAAATGTCTCCACCTCTCTGAATGTGATTTAATGACACATTTATTGAAGAGGACACATGAAGTAATCAAGTTCCCCAATTTATATGAGTTGGAGCTTGAAAATCTGAAATGTCTGACTCACATTTGCAGTGACAATGTTGAGCGCATTGAGTTCCCTCTGTTACAAACAATGTTCTTGTATGAACTACCTGAGTTCCAGAATTTCAGGCCTACAGCCAACAACTCAAATCCTCTTTTTGATGAAAAGGTTTGCTTCTTATCACAAAAATGTTACCTTTTACTTGAGCATTAAAGATATTTACTTAAACAAAGTCTATTGCTTAGATATATCCTTTTTATCTAACAAGTGAAAAAATAATTTTAATTTTTTTTTTAATTTGTTATTTAAAAAATCCATATAAGGCTATATTTGATGTGACTTTTTTTATTCAACGGTTAATTTAAGTTTTATTCCCTTATAGATCTATTAACTTATCATTATTTGAGTTTCATATTCTTACTTCATTTTTTTAGTGTGAAAATAAATAGATATAGAAAAGAAGAAAAAGTATGAACAAATTTTGGCAGCTATAATGTAATTTATTTTTTGAAAAAAGGTCGATAGTGCCGTAAATTACGTGAAATGATAAAAAATGACCTCAATTTATAGTTTAGTCCAAAAATGTTCTTGTCCTCAATACTTTGGTCCAAAAATGTTCTTTCTGTTGATAGTTTGTTCTGGAAATGTTCCACTTGTTACTAACTGAGTCAAAAATATATTTTTCAGTATAAACATATTATTTCTTTTCTTTTTAAACAAATCTTATTCCTATTAAAAGATATTACTTTTAAGTACTCTATTCTTATTTTCTTTATTTTAAAATTACTTTAACTATTAAAAAATGTACCCTTTATATTGATAATATATGTAAGATCATAGTAAATCAACCATTAATTTTTATTTTGATATTTATAATAAAATAAGAAATATTTTTAGTGTTATTTTTTTTCCCAATTGAAGTAGGATAAACATTTGCTAATAAAAAAAATATCATTAGGAAAAGAATGTGTTCAAAAAGAAAATAAATAATATATTTATTTGAAAAATGACATTTTTGCCTTATTAAGTAACAATAAAGGCATTTTAGACCATTTTTCGTTTATTTTTTATTTTTGCAGAAAAATGAGGCATTTATGATAAATTTTACAAGAAGATGAGTGAAACCTAAATCATTCATTGAATTAAGGGAAAATAGGCAAATATACTGCTCAACTTTGTGATTTTGGCAAATATACCTCTTGTTAGTAAAAATGATGCATATATACCTCTACCGTCTAATATATGGTGCATAATTTTCTTTTTCATTAATAAATTTATATTTATTTAATTAAAAAATATATAATTGTGATTTTTTAATTTCAATATATAATTGTAAAAACTTTATGGTATATAGAAAATGAAACGTTAGTAACAATACTAAAAGTAATAAAAAATTTAGATGAAGATCTAAAAAGAAAAATAGTCTCTATAATAACTCTTAGAAATAAGAAGGAAGAAGAGAGACAAGAATTGATATACAATTCATATAGTTTTCATAATGAAACTTACATGATGGACACCTCTGATTATTACTTCTCAGAATAAAATGAGTTTAAAAGAAGTCTCAGAACTTTTAAAGGACTTAATAGAAAGTCAAAAACAATTAACCTTACGGTTAAAAATGATAGAAATTGAAATAATTAATATAAAAGAAAACCTTCCTGGAAGGATAACAAACATAATTGAAAAAACTGACAAGATTGATAAAAGAATCAGTCAAAAATACATTAAAGAATTATTAAACAAAAAATCAGCAAGTGCAAGCACCTATCAAAAAGGAAGCATGGATGAACTTTTAATCCAAAAATTTCTTGAAAAACAGAAACTAAAAGAAAAAGATCTTTATACAAATCTAGAAAATAACTCTGAAGAAACAAATTCAGAAACAAAAGAAGATCAAAAAGATGAATGAACTAGATGAATTAGTCTATTCAATGGAAGATCTTAATCTTTCAGAAGAATTAAATGTATTCATGAATAAAGGGGAAACAGGAGGACCCCAAGGAAAATTCGAAGCATCTACTTCAATGAATGAGGAATGGCAGGAGCCAGAAAATGATGAAATTTTTTTTGCTAATAAAGCAAAAGAGAATAATGATTTTACAAAAAATTACCATAATAGTGATAAATCAAGATCTATGCCAAATAGGCTTCCAACAGGAGATATTGGGGCTCAATTCCTAGATCTCGAATGTAAAAGAGATCCGGAAGATAGCTTAGACCTTTGGTCTCAAAATATGCTCCTATACTTTCTATTAGGAAAAGGGAATTATACTGATGAAGAAAAATATATCATCATGGTAAACACTTTCATTGGAAAAGTAAATGACTGGTTTTCTGGATTAACAGAAGATTCGGAAAAAATAATCAGAAATGATACTTTAGAAGGATTAAAGAATTCCGTACAAGAAGGAATAGCAAATTTAAAACAATACATAGCAAATGAATTCTTTGGTGGAAAAGGAAATATAAAAGAAAATAAAGAAGCTATAAGAACTCTTGCCAAAGAGCAATTAGAAAAATTACAAATTTGCAAGATGAGTTATATTCAAGAATACACCTGTGAATTCGAAGAATATTACTATAAGATATTTGACAGTGGTAAGGAAATGATGCCTTATCTAGAAAAATACTATCAAAAATTACCAGGCTTCTGGGCAAAATACTTCAGAGAAGAATACGAAAGAGAAGACAAAAAAGGAGATACTCTAGGACAAAGGATAAGTTTCCTAAAAAATAGACTTGGTCAACTTTGCATGTCTCATAACATCCAAAGAAAAGCTAAAAGAATAAATACACAAATTTATTGTAAAGATACAAAAGCATCATCTCAATGGGGATGTGATGATAGACCTTACAAAAAAAAGAAAACAACTCAAAAAAGGGTTAATAAAAAGAAAAAACTTCTCCAAACAGAAGTATGTACCTAGAAAAAAATATTATAAAAAGAAAAAGGATTTCTTAAAAACCAAACCTACAGACAAATGCAAATGCTACAACTGTGGAGAAGAAGGCCACAAAAGTTACGAATGTAACAAAAAAAGAGTAAAAATCTCAAAAATAGATAGAATAGAAATTGATTCCGATCTTGAATCAATAAAATCTATAGAAAGTGAAGATTTCTTTGAAGAAATATATGAAGAATATTCAAGTAGCTCAGAAGAATCTGAATGAATAATAGAGAAATACAAGAAAGAGAAGATTCTGTTCAAATCTTAGAAACAAAAGAAGATCATCGAGGATATGCCTTAAAAGCCACCTTCGATGGAGAAACTTTCTGAAAAATCCAAGGATTAAAATTAAATCTAAAAGTAGAAGATAATCTACTTAGCAGAATGCAAAGAATGTTTGCAAGAGATAAAATCTCTTATCATGAATATCAAGAAATAGAAAAGGTAATAGAAATTACCCAAACAACAGGAAAACACAAATTAAACCTGTTAACAAAACCGATGATAGATCAAATTCTTAGGAAAATTCCTAAAAAAAAGAGAAAGAAAATGAATTATGTTCATCTAGGAGGAATTCAAATATTAGTTAAATCAACTTTTAAAGAAGGAATAAATTGTCCAATAGTGATAAATTTATCAGATGAGAGATTCATAAATGCAAGGGAAGGAAACCTTGGTATAGTAGAGGGAAACCTCGCTTATACAAAACTCCTATTTACATACTATCCAAAGTATTGTATATCACTCAAAGATGCTGACTTTAACGACGCATTGAGTTTACATTTTCAGATCAAAAGAAATGATTTATTCAAACCAGGTAATCATATAATGAGTATATATTACCTAGCATTATACACAGTTACAAATTCAAACTATGGTAAAGTGTATAAAAATAAAGGAATGATCGAAATAGATCAAGAATGTGCAGGAATTGCAAGAATAGTTGAAGCAGAAATTCAACAAGCTCAAATTCCGGATGAATATGAAATTCGATTTGGAAAAACACAAGAAATAGGAAGTACTAGTAATCCTAGACTTTCAATAGAATACGGAAGAAATTCAATAAGAAAAAGTATATCTAACAGATATTCATTAAAAATTGAAACTCCAAATGTAACAAAAATAAAAGGAAGAATCTTCAATGGAACAGAATGGAAAAATCAAGAAATCTTGATACAAACAGGAGCAATTGCTAACCATGTAAAAGGTATTTTAATAGATGGAATACCAATTTACGAAGGAGAGCATTATACCTATAAAACCTTTGAAGGTAATAACTTTAGTTGTAAAAATATGGTAAAATTGCCTATACAACTTGATACTATAAGGATAACAGTTCCTTGTTATATTACTAATCACGATAGTGATCAAGTGTTAATTCTAGGAAATTTATTCTTAAACAAATTAGAAGACTATAGCATTGGAAAAAACGGTATAGAAATGCTATATAAAGGCGAAACTTGTTTCATACAAAAAATATAAATGCCTAAAGAAACAATTTTCAAGGTATCAGTTTTCATAGAAATAACCTTCTATGACACGAAATTAACAACCTGTTGTCAAATAGACAATGGGTCTGAAGCAAGTCTAGCAAAATCCTTTTTAATAAAGGATTGGGACATGAATAAATCTAACATCTCTATGATTGGAATCACAGGAGATAAAGAGAAACTTTCGAAATCTAAAGAAAAGGTAGAAATCATCCTAGGTTCAAAGATTGTTTCTATAAATAAATTATTTGCTTATGATAAACTGGAAACAGATTTATTATTAGGAAATGATTTTATACAACAATTCCAGGACTATCATCAAACTTTGTATATGATAAGCCTAAAAACTCCTTGCGGACATTTTATAAAAGTTCCAAGAAAGCAAAACCCCTATAATCTTGAAAAAGATAATGGAAATTTTAAAAGAAAATACTTAGAAAATCTAAGAAAAATTTCTTGTAAGTGTCTTAATCTGGAAAAGATCAAAGAAAATTTACAGAAATTTTATGGAGAAAATCCATTAGAAAAATGGGAACAATATCATGAAAGGGCAACTTTGACTTTAAAAGACCCTAATATAATTATTAGAGTAAGACCCATGCTCTACAACGAGGAAGACAAAATTGAATTCAGAATTCAAATTAAAGAATTACTCAACTTGAAATTAATAAGAATGAGTAAAAGTCCTCATAGTAGCCCATGCTGAAATAAAAAGAGGAAAAGCTCGGATGGTAATAAACTATAAAGAGAATGACGGCTTATGTTATGCAAGGATTTTTGCAAAAATTTCATTTTATGCTAATATAAGCAT